CTTGCTTTCACAGTGCTATTTTTATATAGTAAGATGTAACTATTTGAGAAACACATGTTTTTATACAGGTTGGTTTATTACCTAGCACTGAGGGCAGATATGAATTTAAACTAACCATATGTTATTATATAATATTTTATTTCCTTTGCTATGTAGAGGTCCTGCTTTATTTAACTTTCTTTTGGTTCATGCAAGTCTCCTGGAGTTTTAAACCTAGAAGGACATGAACTGTACAGTGCAATGATGTTGTGTAAGTAGTGGAGGAATTCCTTGCCTCCAGAAGTCATTGAGGCCAAGAACATAGGAAGGCTAAAAAGCATCAGACATTGATGAAAGTGGACAGCGTTACCATGGGTGGCATTTATAGGTATTTTGGGTGAGCGATTAAACTCAGGGCTACAGGGCTAAAGCCCTTCTCTGAAGATCGGAAACCTTGGTGACAGCTATGAGCAGCTGGGTCAACGCACATCTGGTACTGCAAGGTGCTAGTACTTGGTTTGTAGTAGTTGTGTGTGTTAGGAGCCACAACACTGATCTGATGTCACCTGGCATTTCCTATGTTCCTGTGTTTCTGACGACAAATTTTAGCACAAAAAGAAATGGGTTATTAAAGGTTTAACCACACAATCATGTTACAAGTTGCTGGAGGAGTCAGATGTGCTGCAATGCACCAGGTGTCTCTTCCCATCGATCCAGAGGAGGTGGCTTCAGCTCGCCTGGCTGGCTTTGCACTGAAGTAGGCAGAGATGCATTCACATGACCCTTCATCAATGATGCTGTAGCCCCACAGTCACATGTACCTGGGGGCAGTAACATCTTTGCTCTGGAGACACCTAAAAAAGAATGTCTGGCTGCATCTTCGGAGAAAACAGATGCCTGAGGCAAAAGAGGGTCTGCCCAGTTTGTGGAAGGAGTGGTGTTTCTTGGGTGTGGAAATGAAGGCCAACACACTGTTCACTGGCAGTCATGGCTCTGTTTGCTGGTGAACAGGATAGCCTCTGCAATTTCCTTTGCAAAATACACCCAGGGAGAGGTACCACTTCTTGCGCCAATCCCGTCTCTCAGCCAGAAATTTCTTTCTCCTGATTCCTACCTGTATACGCGGTATCTTTGCTATATAGTGTATGGAAAGACACCTGCAGTACTGCAATAATAATGTTACGCTGCACGCTGGGATCCACGAGAAAGCACATTTGTGCAGCACAGTGCTTATGTTTGTATCTATCTGTGTGTGTATTGTAAACAAAAAGTGTTGTAAGATTTTTTTTTTTTTTTTTTGAGTGGGTTGCTTCAGAAGGAATCTTCCCTCTTCCCTGCAGCCTGTGTTGGGAACACTGAGAGGCATGTTTCACTGAGCACTCCTTTTGTGACAGGCATCTTTTAGTGCCAAAGGGGCACTTTGGTTAGCCAGGAATTACCTTATTTCCTTGTGGATTCAGGTAAAAGTCTTGTAAGTATTTTCTTCTCTGCAAAACAGTGCTATTACACAGAGTGCTTCAGCTGGGACCACGTCACCTCATTTGCTGAAATGAAGCTGAAATGAACTGCTGTGCCTAAAATGTATGTGTGTGTGATTTTTACATTCCTTCTATTGTTATCATTACCAACCTGGTGCTTTAAGTATATTGTGTCTCTGTTTTGAAAGGTCTGGTACCACTATACATGATGAGAATTGGACTGTTGATTTAATGCGAGTAGGATCAGAACCTCTGTTGTAAGGCTAAAGACAGAAAGAACTCTTATGAGAAAACCTAGAGTTTCTTGTGTCTTCTCTGGACTGTACTTTATATCCTCGGGTCCACCTCCTGTCCCCACACATGCATCTGCAATTGCTAGTGGTTTGCCAGAGGCAGACATGTGATTGTCAAAGCCAAGAATCACTCCAGGGGAAAGTGTGGAAGAATCTTAGTTCTGACACAGATGTGGAGCTTGTCCTTCTCACCCAGGAAGGTGCGTTCTTCACACGGGCTTCCGATCCAAGGACAGCTTGAGGTCTGATCTGTTCCTATTGGAGTAAATGGAGAATTAAAATGCCTCTGATTTAACAGCGAGTGCATCTGGGGTCAGCACCAGCAGGGAAAGGTCTCTGGGCACACGCTAACCCCACATTACAGCCTGGGCAAACAGACTACTTTGGCAAAAGCATTGAGATGGGCAGTGCTGGAGCACCCTGGGCAAACCCCAGGGTCCTAGCTCTGGACAGTATAGCCAAGTAGTGGAGGTATCGCAGGAAATGGGGTCACCCGTCAACCTTCTCTTCTAGGGGCAAACTAGTGAGCTTTGCAGGGGTAGACTGTGCTAAAGGAACAGTCTTTGTTCTCCTGGGAGAAACACATGAATAGCAGCAGGAAGGAAAGGGACTCCCTGCAAGGCTAGGGAACACTTAACCCAGGTGGTGGTTTTCTGGGTGCTTTGTGGGCTGCCAGCCTCTGGCATTTCTTGAGACTCACACTGTGACCTGGGTGCTGACACCACTGCGCTGGTGACAATTCACTACTCACATAGCTGAGACCACTCAGGGCATGCTGCTGCCCTCGGGGGCCAGCACCAGGTCCCTCCCTTGCCTGGGCAAGGCTGAGCACAGTGTGAATGCAGGGGTGGCACAGACCTGGCCAGGAGTAACTGAAGACTTAAGTGAGAACCTGATAAAGCTTTCTCTTGCTTTAGACCAAAATTCAACCTTGAGCAGGAAGCTTTGCTTTTTCCCTGACATTATTTGTGTGATGCATCAGAAGAGCAGCCATGCCCTTCACACTAGAGAAATCAATCACTCAGCTGCTGCAAGCTCCTTGCGCTGTGCCTCTCACGCTGTTCCTCCTGTGCACACCACAGTCGTAGCAGGCTGATAAGCAGCACTAGCAGAAACCTGCTTGGGGAGAGCACTAGATTTTCCATTCTGCCTTTAACTGTTGACCAAAGACCAAATCAGAGAAAGGAAGTATGGGAAGATGGGAGTGATGTAGACACCACATATGACGAGAAGGAGGAAAAAGAGGTGACACTGAACTGGTGCTAAAAAACCAGCTTCCATAAATGTGAAATCATCACGTGGTATTTTCAAAGTGCAGCTGTTGAATCCTAAGGTTGGATTTTTTTTTTTTTTTCAATAGATGGTATTTATTGCTGTGCCAATTTTTTATTTATACTGGCTTTATACTTGTATGTATGAATATCTTATCTGAGTACTGCCTGAGGAAGGATGAAGGGTGACTTTCTGATGTGTTTTTAACTAAGGTGTTTGAGCAAAGGTGACTGTTCATTTTGCAATGAAGGCTATATTTGAAGTTAAATATACTAATTTTGTTGAAAATGCAGTTCCTATAGAAGGTTTTGTTGCTGTTTTCCCTTTGTTAGCATCTAGAGGGTCCTTCTTTTCTCTGGCAACTTGTTTTCAGTGATGTGATTTACAGTAACCAGGAATTTCTGAGAACTCATCACCTAAAATCTGAATTTTTTTCTTTACCAACATCCCACCAAGACAATCCTTGTCTGCAAACATGAAACTCTGGTGGCCACAGAGAAGAAAACATGTATCATGATGAAAGGGCTGCATGAACCTCCCATCTTCCACTCCTTAAGAACTCAGTGTTGTCAGAATGTGGTAAATACTGTACTTTATATTTCTATTAAGTAAAAAGAAGTATCTTCCCAAATAATGTGAAAAAGGTTTTGTATTTGTGTTCCTGTAAGGCAGCTTTTATGGAGGAGTTATATTATGCTTTTGAAATTACTCCTTTCATAGAATATTTTGAAAATAAACCCTTTTATATTGTTGTAATTTCTCCCATGAATGTGTATGCACTTAAAATTTTCTTAATAAAAATGTCTATCTAAATGAAACTATTACTTGCTTCTAATTTTTTTTCCTCACATACAAACAGCTAAAAGCTTCACATCAGAAAAAACATTCAGTTGTAGTTTAAGTGTCCAGTTTCAAGGATGCTTCCATGTAGCCCCAATGGGCTGAGACTCTCTGTGGGGAACCTGAGGCAAAGAGCCCGTGGGGTTTGGCAGGGAGCAGCAGAGTAGCAGACTGAAATGTGTCATCTTCAAAAGGAAAGGCTTAACTATTTGCTCCCTAAACAGAACCCCAAACTTTTTTTGGTTTTACTTTTTTTTTCCTCCAAGTTGTCTCCTGCATCAGGTTGACTTGAGTGGAACTGAAAACCGTGAGCTGTTTTTGCTCCAGTAACAGGGATGCCATCGTCATCTGTGCTGGGGAAGGGATGAAGGTTTCTCTGAGGAGTCTGAGGGGTGTCAGGGGATGCATTTGACAGAAGAGCAGATGCAAACACCACCCTCCTTGGAGCTGTTTTTCCCAGGACACAGCAGGGTCAACCTTCAATTTGGAGGTGGGGAATGGTTTTAGAGGCTTGCAGGACTGGCCTAAGATACTGGAGGTATAATCCTAACTTCGATGATGTTGTAGGGAATTTGCTGTGAGTTTCAAAACCATAAGTTGAAAACTGGCTTTTGTCAGTGCCTTCCCCCATCTCTGAGTCCCCATGTCAGGGACAAAGTGTTTCCTCAGATCACCCTGCTCCCTCCACAGCTGCCCTACTCCAACATGTCAGTCCTCCTCCGTTCATCCACTGCAACAACACAGGTGAATTCCAGCACCATGTACAGCTCTGGCTGGAGTCAAAGTTAGGGATAATTTAATATCTCATAACAGTGAAACAAGCACTGAAACAGTGCTTGAGCCTTACCGAGCTTCTTATTCAATGAATATTTCTTGGCAAAACTGATGCAAGGCAAAAGACAGACATGCAAAAAATGGAAAAAGGAAACTCAGATGACT